GCCATTACCAAATAATGTAATAATAACGACAGCATTTCAGATAATGATTTGAGTTTTTCCAACTGCTAGTTTGACAAAAAAAAAAAAAAAAAAAAAAAAACTTAATTAATTAGCTCTCCTGATTTCCTATTTATCCCACAGTCATCCTTATCATAGAGCTCCGAGCGCACAGGGAGGAACATCCGGGCCATGCAAAGGTCCTGATAGCTCAAGGTGTCCCAGCTGCCGGGAACAGGAAGTTAACGGACAGCTCTTTTCCCTTTTTTGTCTTATTAAACTATTTGGTAATGGTGATCAGAAACTTTGAGGTTATCTAAAAAGATTAAACAATACTGAAAATAGAAGGATTTACATATCTTTTTATATTATTTCATAGGATTTATATTTTCTTATGTATGTTTTGTATAAACGTTCTCCCATAAGCTCGAGGAGCCTCCCGCTGACAATTTAACCCATAGAAAAGGAGCGATTGTAGGGACATTTACACCCACAAACATACTTCTATATTCATATGTGCTTGTGCAAGCATATACAAAGTATATACGCACTGAATGTCTACACACACACCTGATTTTTTTCTTCGTAGATTTCCACTGCGCCAAACTCTTTCCCACCGTCGCAGTCGCATTGATATTTACATATATTAATTCCCAAATTATGGCAGGAGTATCATCGGGGAAAGTTGATTTCACTGCTGAATCATACCGATTTAATGATTTGACAGCGCCCCTTGCAGCTGCCACCGACTTGGCAGGAGTCGACAGCGACATCTACTTGCAGCCGGTTTAACATAGTGCGTGGTCCGACCCTGTGAATGGTCTTATATACGGATATGCACATATAAAGACATGCATATCAACCGTTCAGATAGACACATAAATGTATATCTATTAGATAGACGAATATGCATTGATTTCTGTGTATATGCATGTCTGAATATGCCCTTTGCAGCTGCCACCAACTTGGCTGGAGTCCAGAACGGTATAGCATCTACTTGGTCGTAGTTTCACACTCCTGGCCCAAGCTGGAACACTCCACTCTGCCTTCCTCTTGTGACCGCCTCTTCTTCCACCGCACACGCTTCCCTTTGCTTGCATACCTGCACTTTATCTCTCCATAATCATGAAATTCCAACCACCTCCTCCAGTACCTTCCAGTAGATAATGGTATAGTGTAACACAGAGCAGTATGTTGGCCGACAATATATCTTGTATTTATGTGATTAAATTGATGTGTGGTATTAAAGAATGCTACATTTTCCTTAATCTTGGAAATGCATCAAAGGTGCATTGTCACGGGGACAAAACGTTTAGTTGGAAGTCTCACGGCGCAGCCTGCAACAGGGATCACCTGAAGGGAAGCACAAATATAATTGGTTGTCCGGTCGATTTAATTACATACTTTAAAGTGTTTGTTAAAATTTGGAGCAATGCACACCCTCGAAAAAATATATACAATAAATATACATATAGATAGATCGAAAGTTATGTAGATATAGATAGATAGATAAATAGATCTAGACAAAAATATATTGATATAGTCATTGCCATAATTTGAAATTTTACAACACGAGGAAAACAATGAAAAACATTGATCTAAAACAGATAACTGATACAAGATATTGGTTCAATATATATGCGGCAGCAAGACAAGAAATGCGTCTTCATTTATCAGCACTTTCCGTCTCGAACATTGTAGCCCCCAGTATCTCCAACTACAGAATACGTCACACTGTGGGGCCACCAGTACAATGTGTCTGCACTGCCTGCAGCAATAAGGGCTTCAAGAATTGTCTCTTGGATTCTTGCACACGGTTTAAACCTTTCTTGGAGGAGACATTCGAGCTGCAAACAAATAGATACCATTGCTATGTACTGAAATGCAGCTCACCTAATATACAGATAATTTCAAAATGGCTAACATAAGTAGCAAATTCAATACACAAACATAAAATACGTACATCGTATCCCAAAGCAGGTAACACTGACACTTCACATCACCACAGGCACGTCACCGCACGACAGGTACATCTCAGGACAGCTAGACAGCCTGCACCCTTGCATCTATGCGAGACAATTCCGCTTATGTAAAACATATCAGGTATCAGCACTTGACATAGATTACACCTACATGGAAATAATGGCACATCACTATTCTTATAAAGGCAAATACAGTATACTAATAAACACCAACCAATGCGATGATCACGTGAGGGTAGAAAATCACTCTGCAAGGCAGCAAGCCCAACGCGCTCTTTCCCAGACTACACCGAAGTCCTTGGGGTTACCACTGTGACTGCAACAATCCTTTAGCACTTTAACTGCCAGCTCTTCCCCAGAAATACTGGCGTTATACAAGAATGTCAAAGCACAAACGCAATTTCCATGAGCGTGTCAGTCAACAAAAAAACCTGTTCGAGCTGGTGGTGGCGCCTTGCCCAGGCTCTCCCAGCCAATCATAATACAGATTATAGGAAGACCAATCAGAACTAAGCGCTGCTCGTGCGTGAACCAATCAGCTTCAAGGATGGGAAACATTTGTACAAATGGGCTATTATCAATAATTAGTCAATGCATATTTAAATCCCATTCTTACTGTCAATATATCTCTTGCTATCGGTGATCGACTCAAAACTCCTTCCGGTATAACCATATTCTTTCTTAATTACAGATGCTGCAAGGGGCGGGGCTACTTGTTGCCTGGGTAAATTTGGCGGGAAAACGCGGTAACGTCTTGGCACATATTTCAACTTATTTCACTGGATAAACAGGATCTGACTCATAATGACAAATATAAATTCATTCACTTCTACATCAGCCTATACACACATACGTTTCACATAACATAGTCCACATACTAAGATATTTCCAATAAAAAATGCCAGCAGCAAAAAAATGAAACAAAATTAGAATCGTTTTCTATAATAAATCATACGAATAATCGTATAATCAAAGAAAATTTAATCACTGGAAACTTACAACAAAATTCAAACTCGCAATATTCTACAAAGATAATATTACACGAATCAAACGATGCATTTAATTACTGCCTCACAAATCTTTCTGTGACACTGCCTACTAAGACTTCCATTAAAAAGTGAGATTGCATCATTTACAACAGTAAAGAAAAAACAGAAAGAAAGAATTAAAAAAAAATAAATATATAAATGAAAATAGTGAGGTTAACCATTAATCTGTCTTTACTTTTACTTTGATAGGTTGAATTATGTGAAATATTTACACAGTAGTAATCGCGTTTCTGATAAATAGATTGTCTTAAACATAAATCTGAAATTCAAGAATGACTAAAGAAAGTCTGGAAAATATAAATGGAAGACTAATGTGCTACGAAGTCTTCAGCTAGGCTGCCCGTGCCTCACGCCTTGATATATTTTTGATAGCATTGAGCTCTCTTTGTCCTCTTACAGATGTAATTTGTAATTTCGTGTTTTTTTCTGATGAGAACAGCAAATATCAATGATAATACCTGTTGAAGTAATGACTTCCTTGAAAGCGATCCCGAACGCAATGACTTTTGGCGGAAATTTTAGGTGGATTCTCAGCGAACGCATTG